CTTAAAATCAGATAGGAGAACGAAGTTTACAAGATTGAAGCTTGAATTAGCCGTCTTTGACGATTTCAAAACAATGGCAATTTTGAAAATGATGGTGAAGTTGATTTAATACTTGTGGATGATAAGGTACATAAACCTATCTTAGTTCATCATGTTAATCTGTTTTATTGAAGTGTTTTACACCAGATATACAAAATTTGATTGTATATTTTGGTTTCATGACAAGGAGATCGTATACAAGCGTGTATTAGACCTTGATTGGTAGAGCTTTTAGAAGAGCATTAAGCTCTTTCTCATCCAATTAACTTTTTTTAAAAGAGCATTTAGGAGAGCATTTAGAAACTGCTACTGCTCCCAAACTGCTCCTTCCCTCCCTGCTCTGAAAGGGAGCATTTCCAAAGCATTGAGCTCAAAAATATTTAAAAAATCTTAAATAAATTATATTTAATTTATTTATTTTGGTAAAAAAATGAAACTATATTTATATCAAATTTACAATTTTATAATTTCGTAAATTAACATTAACAATAATGTATTATTCATAAAATAAATATTTAATGACATAAAAATTAAATAAATATAATTTAAATATGAAATAGTTACTAAATATTTTTTTAAAAATAAAAAACAATCTTATGTTATTAATGAAAATATATATGATGTATTAAAATAAATATCAATATACATATTAAATAATTTCACAAAAATAAAATAATAAAAAGGCTCACAGCTCTACCAATCATATAAATTAAGAACATGCAGTTTCAAGAGCTTAATGCTCTTCTAAATACTCACCCTGCTTATGCTCCTTAAGCCTAATGCTCTTCTAACTGCTTTGCCAATCAAGGCCTTAGAGGAGGAAAGTTAATAGCCAAGTTCCAAAAGGAACTCGACGAAGTAAATTGCTGTGTTTTGATGAACTTTAAGTTGTCTCAAAATCTTGGCAATTATGATATACCTCTATTTTACCTACTTTTTATGCTATTTTACTATGGTTTTCTAATGGTTTTCTAGTGGATTCTTGTGTTAAAAGGTAGTTTTTATGGATTTATAGTGCAAAGAGTCATTTTAGGTAAAAAGGTGCATTATGGAGCAAAACAGAGATTTGGACTCTAAACCAGTTCAATGCCCCTGCATCAACTTTGGATGGAGCTAGAAAAAGATCTACTCAATGGATTTCATCAAGACCAGTTCCCTGCGTGCTCTGATTGAGTTAACTTTCCAACGCAACTGGAACGGCCATTTGGATGAGTAGAAAAGGAGTTATAGCCAAAAGAGTGAAGACTGCTCCAGACGGCTCTATCGAGAATCAGCGCCCAACCGCGCAGTCCGGCTGGCCGAGGAACGATGTTCCGCGCTCGGCCAAAGTATCCGTCCGACTGAAGTCTCGGCCAAAGTCAAACCACCGGCCGATCACAATCACGACCCGGGAAACATTCCCGCGGTCGGCCAAGCACACACGTCACGCCACGCCGCGCACGACCATGCGCGCGAGCCGGGAACAAGCCTCGCGGCCGCGCAACCCTTCGCGTACCACGGCCGATGCATCCGTCCGAGCCGGGAAGACGTCCCACGTCCGGCCGAGAAACCATCGGCCAAATCTCATCCGTCCGACCACGCCGGCCGACCGTGAAACATCCGGCCACGACCGTTCCGACTCGGCCAAGACCCGACTGTCCGGCCGATCGTCCCGACCGACCGTCCGAACGCCGCGGTCGACCCGAAGCCGTTTTTGAAGCCCAATCCGCACAATTCAAGCCCAAAGCCGGCGCCGACCTAGCTAGATTAGGTTTAGCCGCTTTCATACTTAGAGCATTATAAATACTTCTTTTTAGCCTTGTAACTCAAGAAGGAGAGAGACCACAATTATTTTACATCTTAATAAAGTTTTGCTTGCTTTTACTTTGTTCTTGCTTGTTACTCTTTCTAGAGAGGATTCGAATCTCTGTTCTTATGAATATGAATTCGTGTTCCTTCTCTATGTCTGAGTAGTTTACTTGTTAAGTGATAGGAAGTCAAAGGATAGCATTCATGTATGCTTGATGATTGATCACAATTAGGGTTTTACTTATAATCTCCATCTTTGCTTATACTTAATGCTTGTTGTTAATCTGGCCAATTAGCATATGCCTTTAGGTTGATTTGAGCCTCGACAGTGCTGTATCATTCGCCTGAACTAGTATTTGGTGGGCAATCTCTTTTAGACTGCGACAGTTGATCTACTTGTAGGTTGTGAACAATTGATCTTGATCGAACTAATGCTTGATTTAATCACCTAGGGACATACCAAAAGTTTAGCGACTAGGTAGATTAACAAAGGGGTCGGAGCCTCGACAGTGGAATGATCATACCATAGTGTTTCAAGTTCTAGATTAGCACCTAAGTGCGGTAACCCTAATTGATTGATTTCATGCTTCTTGAATTGCTTATCTCAAGACTATCCTATTGCTTAGCCTTTCTCTCCTATTGAATTCTCACTTCTTATTACTTGCATGCTTTACTTTCTCTGCACTCAACCAACTTATACTTTTGCCCTAGCTTGATCTCAAACTCATAACTTGTAGTGTGCAATCTGGTCCTTGTGTTCGATACCCGTTTACTACTTCTGACCTGTGCACTTGCAGAATCAGGGATAGGAAAGGGGAAGACCTGATCCCGCGATCAAATTACAGGGGAACAAATCATCTTTTCAAAAACTTTTTTTCAGCTGGTCAACACAGTGAAGCTTTGCAAGCAGATTCCAAACCACTCAGCGTTTTAATTTGATATCTTTTGATGAGCTGCTCTCTGAGGCTCATGACCAAAAAGTCTTCGTTGGTACGTGCTATCACCACCACCGGTTCTTTTTCTTTTTCGTAGTTAAACATTTGCTTCATGTTTTTAATGATTGGAGAGACTTCTTTGTTCGTTTATGTACCTTCTCTGTTCCACTTCTTTTACACAGATATAATTGGAATATTACTATCCACTTCTTTAGTTTCAACGGTATACAGAAATTCATTGTTAGCCATAAGTCTCTGTCTCTTATTTATGAAAAAATAGAAAAAAATTTGAACTGTGGGAAATGTTTGGTTGATGGTTGTGGGAAATCGAACTGTGCTCTCTTAGGGGAGAGGTATGTTTTACACTGTTAGACTCAATTCCTAGCATTTGACAATATAGTTTATGAACAGTTTCACAATTTTGCTACCATTGATTTTTTGTTTGGTTGGTTTTAGACTGCAAAGAAGCCCGATTTTAAGCAGAAGGCGAGTACAATCTAAGCGAGTTTGGAGTCGTTATAGTAAAAAATAGTCGGTTATAAACGGGAAAAGCATAGTGGCTGGAGATGTTCTTATTTGCCTCCCTTCTAGCGGTGTTCATTCAAATGGTTTCTCTTTAGTAAGAAAGTAAGTTGGTAATAATATGACACTGGGAAGAATGTAGTCTATTGTCACTTGAATGAGTAAAGCTTAAAGACCACAATTGTTGCAGGTACTTTTACAGATGAGCTTCCAGGTGGATCATGTAGTCTTGGTGAAGCTTTAATGCCACATACTGTCATTTACGTGAATCAGGTTGATTTGTTTTTGTTCTTTGTCAGCCAAAAAGTCCATCACATTTTTTTAGCCAATTCCATGACTTATTCTTTCTCTATCCGCAGGTACTTGACTTTATCAGCAAATGAGGTGTTAAGGGTTTTGAAACAACGAACATTTTGTTTTTTAATAAAAAAATACTAATTAATTCTAGAAAAAGTCTTTAAAATAAATTAAATAAATAAAATATCAATAACAAATAAATCAGTTCAGTGGAAACAAATGATAATTAAACAAGTCTAGCAAGACAATGCAAAATAAATGAGAACAATAAATATCCTATCATCCCCCTCTTCAGCCTTGATTCCGCGATCACACAAATCTTTTACGTGCAACATATTGGAATGGAGTTGTATAAGTATTTAATAAATACTTAGTGAGGCAATCACTCTGCCTACGAACCATTTACGCAATTTACAAGATATTTAATAATACTAGGGTTAAGCCCGCGCGATACGCAGGTTATGACTATTACAATTTTTTTTACTTATATTTTTGTCAATATTCTATCTCTTATATATCAATTCATGTAAATGTTCGGTGGAAATATTAATAAATAGTATTCCTTGTTTTGTCGAATATCAGTTATGTTCAATTGTAAATTAAAAAATCCAACACTATAAATTAACCATAAAATAAATTGAATGAAATTCAACTTTATATTTTTTTAAACAAAACATTGGAAATTGTTACTTAAATTTTCTCACAAAACATAGGAAGCATGCATAAAAGTAATGTCATTTTTTTCCAAGAATTAGAACACTCTTACATACACGGTTTTGTTATATTTGGAAGTCAACTCTTTGAGTGAAACCGCAAAAGGAAGAAAAATCCATGGACCATCTCACAAATTCCATGCACGACTATACTTATTTACTAATCAAAAATTGAATAAAAAGTTGCAAGAAAAAGTATTAACACTTTTGAGGATTCTAGCTTCTTCATGCAACGTAAAACTATCTTTCTGCATGTGATATACTATCTATCTCAATTATAAAACTTAACTATAATTACTCGATCTTTACTGGAATTGCCTACATTACCTCTTCTCCTTTCCTTGATGAGTCCTTATCGTTAAAAGTTTAAATAGTATTTTAAGCCGCCATTTTGCTACTATGAAATTACTCTCTTTGATCTTGTAGATAGGAATTTATACAAGTTGAATTTATTAACATTAAAAGAAACTTAGAAAATTCAGTAAAGTAAACCATCAAGATAACAAGATTTACTTTAACCAAAAAAAGAATTTGTAAGTATATTGTAAGATCAAGAGTTTTGAGAAGGAGTTGCATATTTGAAATGCAAATAATTTAAAAAGCCTTTGATTATTATCAAATTCACACACATGAGAAAGTGATATCATTGTAGAAACAAAAGAAAGATCATTTAATCACGTTACTAACCAATCAAAACATTTAAAAACTAATCGTATAAATCACCAACGATCGAGAACCCAAACGGAAGCAAAAACACAGACCTAAACCAGAGCTTACCATCTCTCTCTTGAACCTCACTTACGAACTTCATATTCTTCCCTTCACTATCCTCAAGAATCTCCAAGACCTCATCGGTCTCGCCGCATAGTTTCACGGCGACGGCATGCGGCTTGCGGCTTTCCGCCTTCAAAGAGGAAAACCAACAGCTCCATTTTCAACGTCTTCATGAAGAATTTCCCGATCGACAGATGCATCAACGAAAACCTAGAAAATGGAGTTTTCTTGGAATGCAAGGCAACCCAAAAATCCCCTATCTCGGCTCTTCTGATGTTATCAGCGTAGCCAGGGAGCTTTGCAAATACTATAGTTATTGATATATTGCAAGACGATTAGCCTATCGAAATAGCTTTTTTTCTTGAAACGTATATATGCAGACCATTGGTGTTGTACTCGATTGCGTGTTTAATGTAAACGTTTTAAAAACTTGTAGTTGGGTATTTAATTTCCTTTCAGCCGTTAGCATTACCGTGGAAGCGAAATCTAGGCATACGAAAGCCTTTATGTAACGGAATGTTAAAGATGGGTCAGACTCAGACCACTATATTCATTTGAATGCCGAAATTAATTACCAAAAATTCTGATGTTAATTAATACTAATAAGTTTTTAAATTGGAATAATAAAAATCAATACTAATAAATTAGCAGAACAAACCGAAACATTATGAAGCACTAATGAAATCGAACTGGATTTTAGATATTGAACCAAATTTATCTCCCAACTGATAGAAACGAAAAATGTTGCAACAGTGGCCGCCATCGAAGAAGCCTCATCTCGGAGTCGGAGAGAGTCGATTCATTATCCCGGCCACCACTCCGTTGCTCCGGTGTGCGGATTTGACTATCCCATGGCTAAACCCTCAAGATCTCTCCGCCTTCTCTCAAACCTGCAAAACTTTATCCCTGATTACCAGATCCCTCATTCTCCGGCGATCTTTTGACGCTACGTGGTCCCTCGGTAATTCAATCCCGCATTCGAAATCAGAGAACGTGTCAAGACTTTCTCTTGACTCAGAGAGTGAGAGCGGACAATTTGGGGTGAATCTATTGTCGGTGGAGGTTGGTGGATGGTTGATGCGCGTTGACTGAGCACCGGTGGTTTGTTGGAGAGAGGCTTCGAGACGGCGGAGAATCGTTTGTGCCGCGAAGTGGAGATCCATTTTGGAGCATTTGATTTTGCGAGTCTCCGATGGATGGAGAGACCGAAGACGGCAACTTTTATGGCGAGATAGACCGTGTGGCAGCATTAGATTTAGGATTCGGTGAGTGAGGGTTTTTTGAGTTTTGGGGTTATTCTGTAATGAAATTAATTTTGAGGGACTTGGTGTGAAATATTTTCTCTGATTTATTTTTTTTAAAGAGGGTGCCTCATGTGGCGGACGCTGGAAAGAAGTTATTATCTCATTGTAGTATAGATTTATAAGGGTTTTCTGCAAATCAATCCTCGAAATGATTTTTTTTGCAAATCAACCCTCGACTGTAAGAAAATGCAAGTCAACCCGTGATGTTTGAGTCAACCCGCTATATGGTCCGCGTCTGTATCGATGACGTGTCAAAGTGGATACGTGAGACAATCACTAAAACGCAGAGTTTTGGAATAAGAAAGTGAATCAAAAATCTTGTTGTTTTTGCAGCACATGCTGGACACGTGATTTGAAGTGGATTTCAATTTGGGGAAAAAGAACAGAAATTAGGGTTCTTCATAGACTATGAAATCGAAGATAATTAGACGATTCCAAACCGAAGGAGCTTCGTTTTGTATTCTTCTGTGTGCTCATCTTCTCTCTATCTCTCTCTCTCTCTCTAAATCTCTCTCTTGATACAGAAGAGATAGGGAGAAGATGAGCACAAAAGAATCGGCAAATTGTATTTGTATTTGCCCAATGACACACACGAACCTGAAATTTCGAGAGGCAAACCGAATAGAAAGACACACACGAACCTAACCCAATGACTGAAACGAACCCATCATCAACCAGAACGATTTGCCTCTCGAAAATATTTTTCCCAGAAAAAGCAACTTCTGATTTTGAACGAACAGTGATTTAGGTTTTTTTTGTTTAACATGTCTCGTAGTTTTGGTGTTGTAAAAACTACACACACTTCTCAACATGTTGCCGTTTCTTATTATTCCAAAACTCTGCGTTTTAGTGATTGTCTCACGTATCCACTTTGACACGTCATCGATACAGACGCGACCATATAACAGGTTGACTTGCATTTTCTTAGAGTTGAGGGTTGATTTGCAAAAAAAAATCACTTCAAATGTTGATTTGCAGAAAACCCTATTTATAAACTCCATTTCTCAATTATTAAATAAATTTTATAATTGAATAATATTTTTCTATATTTTAAAATAATTAAAATAATTATTTTCAATCAATTAATTAATTAAATTAACCATTAATTAATTAAATCCGAAAATAAATCAAACAAATTGAATTAAAATATTTTAATTCAATTATACCAATTAACCAGAATCAAATCAATTTAAATCAAGATAAACCAATTAAATCAATTAATTCAATTAAACCAAAATAAATCAATTAAATTCAATTAAATCAGATTAAACCACACAAACACACAATTTATCACAGAAACATCCAAAATACCATGAAATAACAATTAAACACATAAACTCATCAAGAACAATCACCTCAAACACCATGTTACACGCCCGTCTCTAGACATCTTTACTCTTAACTCATCACCTCAAACCACTTGTATTGGGGCCACTACACCCAAACAAGTCTGCACCTACCCAAACTGGGGCCACTACACCCAGGGGTTGCCAACCGCTGCTTATATGGGGCCACTACACCCAAATAAGTCAGCCATGACTTATACTGAGGCCACTACACTCAGCTAAGTCACTCAACTGAGGCCACTACACCAGAGAGTCTGCCAGAGAACCAAGTCTCCAAAAACATGATGAGTTATTCAGGATCGCAATCCTTAGAGTAAAAATTCCAAAATGTCTATAACAATAAGATTAGACCGTCTCACAACCAAAACTGGTCAAACATGTGTAACATCCGAATACCATTACAACACAAGGCAAAATGAGGAAAAACTGCATCTCATTAAAACTCCAAAAATGTATATCGTTACAACGAAAACGAAAATACAATAACACCAAAGCCAAAAATAACAACTGAGGCTACAAAGATGAAATAAGCTCACTCCTCGACCTGCTTGTCGAACCACTTCCTGAACTTCAACTTCATCTTTGCCTCTGGCTCCCAAGTCTCCTCTGTAGAACCACTGCAATCCCACAAAACAGTAAGGGAATCCTCTTGTTCCTCAGAACCTTTTCCCTCCTCTCTAAAATCCTCACAGGCACTGCCGGCACTGTCAAATCTGGCTGAAGATCCTCTGGAATCCTAGCCACTAACTCCTCTGTAGGGTGAAGACACTTCCTCAGCATCGACACATGAAAAACCTTGTGAAAGGCTTTCATAATCTCAGGCAACTCCAGCCTGTAAGCCAATGGCCCAACTCGCTCCACTACTGGAAACGGACCCATAAAACGCGGACTCAGCTTGTTCTCTGCTATGGATCTGTTAGGACCCCTCAACATAGCCATCTTGAGATAAACTCTATCTCCCACCTGAAACTCAAGCTCTCGTCTGCGTCTATCTGCATAACTCTTCTGCCTGTCCTGAGCCTCCTTCATGTTCAGCCTCACAACACGGACCTTCTCTGTCGTCTCCTGAACATAAGTAGCTCCATACATGCTGCGCTCCCCCACTTGGGTCCAGCATAGGGGTGTCCTACATGGCCTCCCATACAAAGCCTCAAATGGAGCCATGCCAATACTCGCCTGAAAGCTGTTGTTGTATGCAAACTCAACTAAGCTCAGGTGATCTGCCCAATGGCCACCCCAATCCAACACACACATCCTCAGCAAATCCTCCAAAGTCTGAATAGTCCTCTCTGACTGACCATCTGTCTGCGGATGATAAGCTGTACTCAAATGCACCTTAGTGCCCATCTCTGCCTGAAAAGCTCTCCAAAACTCTGAAGTGAATCTGGGATCACGGTCTGACACAATACTAGCTGGCACTCCATGCAGCCTCACAATCTCTCGCACAAACTTCCTAGCCAAAACAGCAGCTCCATCTGTCTTCTTGATGGCCAAGAAATGTGCGGACTTAGTCAACCGATCCACAATCACCCAATAGCATCGAAAGTCCTCGAAACAGGTAGTCCAACCACGAAATCCATCGTAATCCTGTCCCACTTCCACTCTGGAATGGGTAAACTCTGCAAAAGACCACCCGGAACCTGATGCTCTGCCTTCACCAAGGCACAAGTGTTGCACTTCGCAACCCAGTCTGCTACATCCCTCTTCATCCCGACCCAATGATAGTACCTCTTGAGGTCATGGTACATCTTGGTCGCTCCCGGATGAATGGAAAACTTGCTCGCGTGAGCCTCTCCCAAAATCTGATGTCTCAACTCCACATCCTTAGGCACACAAACTCGCCCACGAACCAAGATAGTCCCATTCGCAGAGACCTCATACTCAGAACCAGTCACTCTCGTCGCATCTAGCAAACTCTGATCACTCTGCTGAGCAACTCTGATCCTGCTAAGTAGATCCGCCTGATCCACTGCCTCTAAACCCAAAGGCTCCTGCGAAATGGCACACAAACGCAAGGTACTGATCTCGCCAACTAGAGACTCCACATCTCGCTCAACTGCGGAATCATACCTCCGTCTACTCAACGCGTCCGCCACTAGGTTAGCCTTGCCCGGATGGTAGTTAATGCTCACCTGATAGTCCGCCAAGAACTCAACCCAGCGCGTCTGTCTCGCGTTCATCATCGGCTGAGTGAAGATATGCTGCAAACTCTTGTGATCCGTGAAGACCTGTACTGTCTCACCCAGCAAGTAAGACCTCCAAATCTTCAACGCGAAGATCACTGCTCCCAACTCTAAGTCATGTGTAGGATGGTCTAAAACCGTCTAGGCTCTGATACCAAAATGAAATAACCAACACTTTTTTTTTTTAATAAACAAATACTAATAAATTCTAGCGAAGGTCTTTAAAATAAATAAATAAATAAAAATCAATAACAAATAAATCAGTTCAGCGGAAGCAAATAATAATTAAACAAGTCTAGCAAAACAATGCAAAATAAATAAAACAATAAACATCCTATCATCCCCCTCTTCAGCCTTGATTCCGCGATCACACAAATCTTTTACCTGCAACACATTGGAATGGAGTTGCATAAGTATTTAATAAATACTTAGTGAGGCAATCACTCTGCCTACGAGCCATTTACGCAATTTACTAGATATTTAATAATATTTATAAACTCCAATAATTATTAAATACCATTTTCCAATTATTAAATAATTATTAATAATTAAAACTCCATTTCTCAATTATTAAATAATTCTTATAATTAAATAATAATTTTTCATATTTTAAAATAATTAAAATAATTATTTTAAATCAATTAATTAATTAAATTAACCATTAATTAATTAAATCCGAAAATAAATCAAACAAATTGAATTAAAAATTTTAATTCAATTACACAATTAACCAGAATCAAATCAATTTAAACCAAGATAAACCAATTAAATCAATTAATTAATTCAACCAAGATAAATCTATTAAATTCAATTAAACCAGATTAAACCACACAAACACACAATTCATCACAAAACAACCAAAATATCATGAAATAACAATTAAACACATAAACTCATCAAGAACAATCACAAACCAAATCTAATCTAGCAAATCGCGGACCCACAGTCATGCACTCACCTTGACAATGGATTGAAACGGAAGGAAGACAATGAACAGTGCCGAATCCCGACGATGAAGAGTACCCGATGAACAGTAAAACTCCAAAATCTCTTCAGAAACTCCACTTTTCTCCTCTGCAGCCTCTGAACTCGAAAATTCTCCAAAGAGAAGACGGGTGCACTCTTTTAAACTTGATTTTAGGGCTTTCTCCACTAAACCGGCTCAAACCAAATCACTTAAATTGAACCGACGAAATTCCCAATTTTTTGTTTATGGATATTACAGGTTTAGCGCATATAACAGATGGAAGTTTCAACATTCCCCGAGTTTTCCCGTATGGATGGGGGGCTGTTATTCACTGGTGCTCGGGAAATTTCACCCTTATTCAAAGGGGATCCAACATGTAATATACTTAAATGTTTGAGTTGTGTTTGGTTATTATATAGTTTGGGAATATAAAAGTCAGTTAGATGCAAATTAAAGAATGTTAATGGTGGTAATTCTAGAAGGAGTTATGTTTCACATGAATCTCTCACACTTTGTTAATGTGAAACCATTATCTTTTGTTTATTACTTATCAGATGTTCATGCCAGTGCATAGCACGGGCCAAATACTAGTATTATATAAAGCTGGATGCACGTGATGTGATTGCGACATGTAAGATTTTTATAATTTACTAGATTGCGACATGTATCACTTTTAATGTTATGTTCGTTAAAATCGTGACACATGTTGATAGAGTAACCGATAGGGTTGTGGTTTCTATTGTTTAGTCTGAGAATTCCCAAGAGAAACACACGCTCTGTTTTCGTTGAGAACCTAAGTTCTAACCGTGAAAAGAGATTAAAGAGCAAAAGCTTCTTTGATTGATAATGAATAAAAGGAGTGTTCTTACAACCCAAGGCATCAACTATATATAAGAAAGGTTTTAAGATCCTAAACCGACTAAGAAAAAGGAAACACATGTTTATCTAAAGAAAAGGAAAACACCAGAAGAAAGGAAAATTAACTAAAGCCGTTAAAGAAAAACGATAAGGAAAACGAGTCCATGCTGCATCAGGTCACCCGGGGTAAAGAAAGATTTGTCCTCGAATCGTCAAGCTCATCCTCCGAAATGTAGGGAACAAGATGCTTGACGTCGAAGACGTCTGAAGAACGAACGTCCGCTTGAAGACGTACACAATAGGCGTTAGCATTGATCTTTTCTAGGATCTCAAGGGGTCCAATCTTACGAGCTTTAAACTTGTTAAAGGTGCCGGGAGGAAACCTATCACGAGTTAAAACAGCCCAAACAAAGTCTCCAACAGCAAACTGAAGATCTCGGCGATGACGATCAGCATCGAGCTTGTACTTAGCAGAAGAAACATTAAAATTTTCATGAACCAGGGAATGCACATATGTAACGTCTGCAACGAAGTCTACAGCCTGACCATGGTCACGTATTTGATCAGGAGCAACACCCAAATCAAGCGGGCCGGGAGGAACAAGACCATAAACCACGCGAAAGGGACTGAACTTCATACTCCGGTTAACGGCATGATTATGTGCAAACTCTGCTTTGCACAAGAGTGAATCCCATGACCGAATACTATCACCAACCAAACAACGCAGCATATCACTGAGGGATCGATTAGTAACCTCCGTTTGACCATCGGTTTGTGGGTGATAGGCAAAGCTCATGTCTAGACTAGTGCGAAGCAAACGCCACAATGACCGCCAAAAATGACTCAAAAACCGGGAATCTCGATCGGATACAATGGAAATAGGGAGCCCATGAAGACGATAAATCTCACGGAAGAAAAGGAGAGCAAGTTGGACAGCATATGTAGTTTTCTTGCAGGGAATGAAGTGTACCATTTTAGAGAAACAATCCACCACGACGAAAATTGAATCATTCCCACGTTGAGTACGCGGCAAGCCTAACACAAAGTCCATACTAATATCCGTCCATGGTTGCGTAGGCAGGCATGTATAAACCACTATTAGAGGCATGACCTTTAGAGCGATGGCAAGTAACACAACGCTCCACATCTCTAGCAACATCTCTTCGTAGCGTCGGCCAAAAGTAAGAATCTGCGACAAAGCGGAGAGTTCTATCACGCCCAACATGACCTTCTTCATGCAACTCCTTGATGATCTTCAACCGCAAACTACAATCAGGAATACAGAGGCGATTTTCCCGAATGATAAACCCATCGAGAAGCACATAGTCAGATTGAACTCCATTAGACAAATCAGGCCAGATGTTCCCAAAGAAAGGATCGAGACGGTAGAGCTCGGTGAAAACTGAAAAACCTACGACTGAGGCATGAAGAGTAGTGAGGAGGGAGTGTCTTCGACTGAGGGCATCAGCGACTTCATTGGTTTTACCTGACTGATGTTTAATGATAAATGTAAACTGTTGCAGGTAAGCAATCCAAGGAGCATGCCTAGCCAAAATCTTGTCTTGACTACTCAATTTTTTCAAAACATCATGATCCGTGTAGAGAATAAACTCTTGATGGAAGAGATAGTGACGCCAATGTTTAATAGCCTGGACATTAGCATAGAATTCCACGTCGTATGTGCTGTATCGCGCACGAGAACCTGCAATCTTCTCGCAGTAAAATGCTATAGGTCGTCCCTGTTGACTTAGGACAGCTCCGATCCCCAGCTTGCAGGCGTCACAATGCAATTCGAAAACCTGAGAGAAGTCAGGTAAAGCAAGAATCTGAGCGGAAGTGAGCTTCTCCTTAATGGTTTCGAAAGCGTGGTCTGCTTCCGGTGTCCAAATAAAGGTGTAACCTCTCAAGCAATCGGTCAATGGTGCCGTAATGTTGCTAAAGTGATGGACAAAACGACGGTAGAATGAAGCGAGGCCGTGAAAACTACGAACATCACTGATAGACTTAGGTGTTGGTCACGTTTTAATCGCTTCCACCTTACTAGGATCCACTGCTAACCCGCGATCTGAGATGATATAGCCCAAGAACAGCACTTGCGATGCACCAAAGACACACTTTTGACGAGCGGCGAAAAGTTTATCACGACGTAAAACAAGGAGCACAACTTCAAGGTGTTCTAGATGGCTTGACAGATCGGTACTGAAAATGAGTATGTCATCAAAATAGACAACGACGAATTTGCCGATAAAAGGCCGGAGTGCTTGATTCATGACCCTCATAAACGTACTCGGTGCGTTAGACAACCCAAACGGCATAACCATCCACTCGAACAAGCCTTCACGCGTTTTAAAAGCCGTCTTCCACTCATCACCTGGCCGAATACGAATCTGATGATAACAGCTTTTCAAATCTAGCTTAGAGAATATTGAAGCACGGCCGATTTGATCCAACAAGTCATCCAAACGAGGAATAGGGAAGCGGTAGCGAATGGTGATCTTGTTGATTAAGTGACTATCAACACACATCCTCCAAGAACCGTCTTTCTTTGGAATCAGCAAAGCTGGAACTGCTGTAGGACTGAGGCTTTCACGGACATAACCTTTAAGAACAAGCGCCTCAACCTGTCGACGTAGTTCATCATGTTCTTGAGGGCTCATGCGATAATGAGGGCGGTTCGGTAAGGTTGCATTAGGCATCAAGTCAATGTGATGTTGTATGTCTCTCAAAGGTGGCAATCCAAGCGGCAAATCTTCGGGAAAAACGTCGGAGAACGTTTCAAGCAGAGTAGTGAAAGCCGGAGGAACTTCGGAAACAGAGGATGTCACGATTGGAGAAGTGACGAGAGCCCAAATCGTAGGATTATCATATAACTCTGTTTCAAAAGCTGCTTTAGGCAAAACCAATAACGAGTTAGAAGAACCTGTAGCTTGGTGCTGATCTCGTGATGTAAATGTGGCGGGAGAAACTTCGACTTGCTCCGGAGATGATAATAATGTGACTGTCCGATCACCAAACACAAAGCTGTAGGTGTTTGATTTTCCTTTCTGAATAACATCACGATCGTACTCCCAAGGTCGTCCAAGAAGAAGATGGCAAGCGTCCATAGGAGCAACATCACAGCTAACTTCATCGTGATACTTTCCAATTGAAAAAGGAACCTTTACTTCTTTAGAAACCCGTAACTCCGAAATATTGTTGAGCCACGCCAACGGGTAGGGAGCAGGGTGTGGAGTTGTTTTAATTCTCAATTTCTTGGCTCCTTCTTCGGAAACAACATTGGTGCAACCCCCATAATCCACGATAAGTTTACAAATCTTCCCCTTGATCGTGCACGTAGTACGAAAGAGATTTGTACGCAACCACGATTCTATTTCTGCACGCGGAGCTAAGCAAATACGACGCAGGACCAGAATGTTGAAAGGGGTCCTGTATCTCCTTCGATTATATCGCCATCGTTGTCCCTGTCAGACCCGTAATCATCATAACACAGATCTCCAATAATTTATGTATCTTGTGTGAGCATCGTTCTGCGATTCATCTTAGGACACCCCGTCTGGCGATGACCGTTTTCTCCACAGCTGTAGCAACGAAGGGCGCTTGTACGAGGAATACGAGAGGTGGCGATGGAGTCAGCTGAAGGAGCTTGTTTGTCATCCCGAGTACGGTTCAGTGGTTCATCGGAAAACTGAATTGAGGAAGGTTGACCAGCTGTCGTGAAACTGTTGTTCCAAATCAAGAGCTCTCTGATGAGTTTCGGAGACAGAAGTGGGATTAAATTGTTGGAGCGTGAGTCGGAGTTGGTTGCGGAGGCCACCAATAAAGCGAGAAACGAGCTGGTCCTCTGTTTCAAGGAGCGTTGCACGAGAGATCAGTTGAAAGAAGTCTGTGGCGTATTCTTCGACCGAGCGAGATCCTTGACGAAGATTCTGAAGTTTGGTGTAGAGGGTTCGTTCATAGTTGTACGGCAGAAAGTTTCGTCTCATATGCTTCTTCAAACGCTCCCAAGTTTCTATTTTTGGTTTTCCCGATCGACGACACGATTCCTTGAGTTGAGTCCACCAAGCGGATGCACGGTTTTTGAAGCGAGTCGCGACAAGTGGGACACGCATATCGTCAGGAACTTTTTTGAAATCGAGTATCTCCTCAACCATGTTAAGCCAATCAACAAAATCTTCAGGGTTGAGTGAACTTGTGAATTCAGGAATATCAACTTTAAAAGCTGATTCCCAGCGAGAGGTGTTGTTGTTGTGAATCAAATCTCGCCGCTCTTCTTGGTCGTCATCACGTTGAGCCTGGCGGCGCTGGTCACGAACGGGTACGGCAAACAGATTATCAACCAACTCGTCGTCACTAGACTCTGACTGGTGATCTCTGTTTCTAGTTGTTCTTCTGCCTTGGTGCTGATTGTCTAAGACGGAGTGTAACGCATCTGTGATGGCAGCCGTTAGGGCGTCTTGAAGACCCATCGTAAACGCCTCCAAAGTTTGACGGAGATCGTCTGGATGGTCGTCGGGGTTTGTTTTGTGAGGAGCCATGATACCTGGTCCGAGTTTTAATAGAAACTAAAACTTCTGGATTCTGATACCAACTGATAGAGTAACCGATAGGGTTGTGGTTTCTATTGTTTAGTCTGAGAATTCTCAAGAGAAACACACGCTCTGTTTTCGTTGAGAACCTAAGTTCTAGCCGAGAAAAGAGATTAAAGAGCAAAAGCTTCTTTGATTGATAATGAATAAAAGTTGTGTCCTTACAATCCAAGGCATCAACTATATATAAGAAAGGTTTTAAGATTCTAAACCGACTAAGAAAAAGGAAACTCATGTTTATCTAAAGAAAAGGAAAACACCAGAAGAAAGGAAAATTAACTAAAGCCGTTAAAGAAAACCGATAAGGAAAAGAAGTCCATGCTGCATCACATGTCTTGGGAAAAAATAATCAAAAAAATGTTAGATAAAGAAATTTTTTTATCCATTATAGTTAGAAGAAAAAAGTCATATTTGTCATATTATAATAGAAAAAGATTTTTTATTCATTAAATTAATATTATCCAAACACCTAATAAATTCAAAATAATGTAATAAATAAAATCCTATTAGTACATGAAATATGTTATGTAAACTAAATTTTCTATAACTGCATGAAATATGTTACTTGAACCCCTATGAAAGAGAGTTAAGGTAGTTTGTTTTTTCTCAATCACAAACTCATCAAACCAAATTTGTCAAATCTCTTTTATTCTCTTTATCTAATTTAAAAATCATGTCTATGAGAGTTTACGACGTGGTCGCGATACATAGGATTTTGATAACTAACAAAATTGTGACATGTGTTTAAAAAAAAAATATGAAAGTATTAAGATCGTGACATATGTCATAGAATAAAAATATATAAAAAATTAATAAATATAAGACCGACAAAAAATTAGAAAAACAGATAACAAACAATTAAAATGAATAATGCTACATCCATTAACAAAATAATTTAATTTTTTCTTACATCTATTAAGAAAAGAAAAAAATATATATTCCCATTACAAAAAGGAAAAAAATCATAATATAATTTATTACTTCTCTCTCATTAAGAAATAAAAATCATGTCTTTAAAATTCAAGATATCAATGAAGAATATTTAACTCTAAATCACTTGGATCGAAATGAAAATTATTGTCGTTACATGTATCTAATATTTGATCGGGTGAAGACATGTGTTAACACAAGTAAATTGGAAAATGTTAAACATAAATAAAAAATAGAAAATAATTTAAAAAATTAACTAATAATGAAAATGAAAATTTATAATTGTCTGAGGCAAAAAGAAAATTGAGAAAGAAACAATATAAATAGAAAAATAACAAAATAATTATCAAACAACAAACTAATTTAAATATATATATATATATAATGAACCGGTATTATAATTTTAAATAGTTTAATTTTCAATTTTTGTTAGGTAAAAAATACTAAATAAAAAATTTATCAATTCAAATCTCTTGAATGGAATAATAAAAGTTTGATGAATTAATGAGTTGATCAAAATTAGACATGTGTTTGTTTTAACGACAATTTAGACATTTGTAAGTCTTTCAATATTGGATAAAAATAAAGGTAAAAACAAATTAATTAATTCTTCATATCATGAATTCAAAAAAAATCAATTACAATACAAATGTAAAAACTTTACGAATCTTATTTTATTTAAATATTTGTTATCGGGTTTTTAATATTATTTTGTTTTCTTTTAAAAGTGATCAGATTTTGTTTAATAATTTTCCGATATTTTATTACAAAATCTTTAAATAAAGTCGCGTATACAAGGGCCTTGATCTAGTTATTATATAAAGATGGATGCTTGCGATGTGGTTGCGACACGTAGCGTTTTTATAATTTATATGATCGTGACATGTATCAATTTTAATCTTATATCCTCGAAGATCGTGACACGTGTCTTTGAAAAAATATTTTAATATACTATAGTAAAATAGAAAAACAATTTATCTTTGTTATATTCTAATAGAAAAAGATTTTCCATTCATCAAATTTATAATATCCAAACATATATTAAATTGAAAATGTAATATATAAAATCATATTAGTATATGGAATAGGTATGTAAACTAAAAAACGGAAAAAGTCGAAAAGGTTATATATTCTAACGAAAAAGGAAAAAAAAAATTGCAAACCTTATCTTTTAGGATAAAAAGGATCCATATTCTAACGGAAAAAAAAATATATATATTTTCCATGTTGTACCAAGCCATAGAAAAAATATATTTTCCATATTCTAACGTATAAAGAAAAGAATTTTTGCATGTCTCATATTCTAAAATAAAAAGGTTCAATTTTCTAACAAAAAAAGAGAATATAAGATAATCGTGATTGATTTGATTTGATATATTTGGAAGGCTCAAAATGATAAGGTGATTGCCAATGTGGATTGGGACCCAAATGAGACAATCGTTAAAGCAACGGCGGAGTCAGCGGCATGGGCAACGGCCCAGGAGAAACGGGAGACAGTATATTCCAGTTCATCATCCCATGAGGCAATTACAATATCGGGGGATGTCTGTCAGGTCGATGGGGCGTGGAAGGATACAGAACACAGAGCGGGGTTAGGATGGTGTTTTTGTAACCTCGAATATGGGGATAAACTTATGGGAACATGTAATTTGAGGCGGGGAATATCACCACTTCAGACAGAAATGGAGGCTCTTCTTTGTGCGATGCAGTGTATGTTACGACATAACAAGCTCTTAACGGTTTTTCAGACGGACTGTTCCGATGTGGTGAAGATGGTGTCTAAACCAGAGGAGTGACCGGCGTTTTCAACACTGCTTGACGAGGTTGACAGGTGTAAGAGGAGGTTTACCTCCTTCTCCATCATGCAAATACCAAGAAAAGAAAACACGAAGGCGGACAAGTTAGCATGGAGTGCTCGAGCTCTATCTACTGATATGTATTATGTAAACTCTATTTCCCCAACTTGGATTTCCGAGCTGTTTCAGAAATAGAGGCTGTTGACAAAAAAAAAAAAAAAAAAAAAGAATATAAGTATATTCAATTTCTCAACAAGCCCTTTACAATATGTGATAACATCTAAATTTTAATTGTGTGCTTCCATATTTTGTTTTTCCATCTCTAATTGTTATCTTCCATCTTTTTTAGAATAAAAAATCATGTTTTCAAAAGTTCAAAAAGCAATGGAGATTATTTGACTCTATTATTATATGACTATTACTCTTTATTACTAGAACTGAAGTATATTATGTTATTCAAAGATTTCTTATCGGATTTTTAATATTATTTTATTTATATTTAAGAGTAATAATATTTTGTTTATTATTTTTTCTGTAAATTGTTTCTAAAATTATAAGATAAACTCCGCGTATACACAGACCCTTATCTAGTTTAATATAATAGTATACGAGGGGATTACCCACGCCTAATGTGTGGGATAAACTTAACTTTAAAAAATTTCATATTTAAAATAAATTATTATTGAATAGATATGTCATTTTCTATATTATTTTTAGATTAATATCTGTTTTATTTCTTTATCAATCCATATAAATATTTTTAAAATAATAATAAGCATATTGTCTCGATTATTAATATTGTAATTTTTTTTTTGATAAATGGATAGATATTTGATTAGTTATTAGATATTAGATATTTGAGTATAACTTCCTTTGCAGATATCATGTAGTGTATATGATATCCAATTTTGCGAGCAAACTCTTTATAAAAATGATGATCTTGAGATGGAGTGTACTGTATATAGAGAGAATAACACATATGACCAGATACTAAAAACATTTTCCATTTTTTTATGGAGTATAATTTATATATCGAGACAACAAAAATTTATTTGAGACATTGGTTCATCCTATTCAAACTTCCTTTGCCCCACCATTGTCTAATTACATCCTATTACATCCTTCCGGAGCCTCTTTTAACTCTCTCACACCATCTTGCTTGGAAACAGAGGTTGACATAGTATCTTACTTTGAGTCAAAACTTTTTTCGGTAAAAGAAAAGAATGGCAGGTTTACAGATTCTTATCTGTTCAAGCTTCACCTCTTCGTTCACGTGAAAACATTTTTACCTATCATTCTGATTTCTGCAAACTAAAACCAACTCTAAGAGTTATTAGTTAAATAAACTCATATTCTTCTCAGTCTGGACTGTCTTCTTCGATTCTGCAGCAGCTCTTAGACCACTGCTTGTTTTTTTAGAGATTAGAACAGCAGCACGAACCTATTAAAAAACACCGTAAGGTCTACAGAAAAAAGTTAATTAGGGAAACAAAGTTAACACCGACCCATTTAGATTCTTAGTCATATTATATTGGGGAAACTACTAATTCTAGACCATAATTTGATTTTTTCTAGTCAACTAGACCACAATTTGAATCAAATGCAAAACTAACCTCTTTGGGTAGTAAAATTACCCCACAAGCCCTCATGACCAAACAAAAAAACGCATGCCTCGATTACGATTATAACCTCCGGAGCAAGTAGATCTACCCGTAGATCTACCTGGTAGACAATGTTAGAGGTCTACCTCGTAATAACATCTTAAATTTTAATTAACAATTAAATAAAAAATATTTTTATACAAACACAAGTATGAATAATTCTAATATAGACATTATCATATACAAAAAATATGAATGCATACAAATGAATGATTTATAGATAAGCAAAGACAAATGAATATTATATAAAAATGTGTGAGGTCTACCGAGTAAGTCTACTATATCATTAAATTTAATTTTATTATAAAAATTTAAAAAATATTTTGATGGAAAATTATTTATACATAATTACAATACAGACAACTTGCATCTATCTAAAATATAATTTCATAGATTTGAACCAACTGAACTATGAAAAAAACAAATTAGGTTAAAAGCCTATAAAACCATGAGAGGTCTACCAAGTAAGTCTACTAAATAATCAAATCTTAAATTTAAATTAAGAAAATTTAAAAAATAATTTGAAATATTTGTTTCACAAATAACGAAATAATAGACATTTAACATATATTAAAAATAAAATTTCATAAAAAATCATGAATCTATAAATATCATATGTAAATAGTTCATAAGGATAAGAGTTTGAGTAGATTGTTTAGGGTTAATGGAGAAAGTTGTAGGGTTTTGAAAAAAATTAGATGAAGAATTGTTTTTGGTTGGTTTTACGATTCAATGTTTGTTTATTTGTGATATACACTGTAAATTGACAATATGGCAAGCAAATCGTTGCAAAATTGTATCTAAATGATTCGATTTAGGGTTTAGGGTAAAGTAGACCTAACAAGTAGACGGATCGAGTAGACCGAAGTGGAGGTCTACCAACCGTTTTAACCTAGCGGGAATCCCGAAATTTACAATTCAAGTAGACCGAATTGGTAGACCTAACATAAATTTAATTAAACCGGAATTTTCTGCTGAAACCGGAAAATTTATCCCTTGTATAAAAGTAAAAAAACCCTAATTTTGTTAAAAAAACTGTAAAATATCTCGGCTCTCTCTTTTTCTCTCTCGCCGCGCTCTCTTCTCTCCTGCTGCCCTCGCCATCTTCTTCTTCTTCTTCCTCCTTATCTGATACCAAATCAGATCTGAAGCTTTTCTGTGATAGATGGAGGTTCTGTTTTCTCAGACCTACTCTGAAATCCTCTAGATCTAAAGTTTCGCTTCTCTTTTTCACTTGCCTCTCCGCCATCTCGTCTTCTCTTTTCTCTCTCTCTGCTGCTCACTATTCCTCGCATCTTCCCTCCCACCTTGGATCTCTCACGCTGCGAGGTTAATCTCTCAGATTCAGTGTTTGAAATAACAGTTGCTTTGCTCAGATCCTGTATGAATCGTTCGTAGTATGTGCAGCTCTATCTCTCTAATGTTCTTCTAATCTGTCTGCATCTGTCTCTGTTTCAGCCTGATTTGTCTTATCGAGCTCCAGGTCTGAAGACCAAGAAGTCGGCATCAGTTCTTCATTCCTCCCAAAATTCAGGCTCTAAGAGGTGATGATTCTCAATTCTCTCTCTCTCTCTCTTTCCAATATGTCATTATGATAGATTCTCTTCTTTTTCTGTGTTTTTCTGCATCTATGGTTTATGGTGATTTGGTTTTTTATCTTGTCGGATTAGTGACGAGATCGACAATGATCAGAAACTGTAAGACCTTACTCTCCTGTTTCACCTTCCTTCTTTTTTTTAGCTATCGTAAAAAATATTGCTCCTGTGATTGATGTTTGTCGATGCTAGCTTCAAAAATTCTAAGTCTACTAGTCCCAAATTTGCCTTTATTAGCTAAAAACGCTTTTGGATCTTCTTCAAATGTTCAATGCAAAAATTGAGTTACATTTCGGATTCTAGTTAAGTTTTGTGGTCTTATGGGTATAGATCTTTATTGAGCTTTGATATCTGTCTTTTCTTCTAGATTTATTCAAAAAGCTTGCTATTTTGTGTTTGTTTGATTTCCTTTGATTTTTACATTAATACAAAAGGTGTAAAGACAACAAGCTTGTTATAACTGCAGAAAGGTGAGTCTCCTTGTATAAGCTATGATAAAACAGTAGCTAAAGTAGAATTTTAGATTGGTAAATAACATTTTCGCATTAATGTTGAATAAGTAGTCTCTTATTCATGCTTATTGTGAAGACCTAAGCTTAGCTCTAATCACAAATATCCATATTTCGAGCTTGAATCATTTGGAAGCATTGTTTGAAGTAGTTTCTGATTCATCATTGCTTTTTGTCCTGTCTATTGGAAAGGCTTGTGCTTGTGGGACTAATGTAGGTGTTTGGTTTATACTGCAGCTTCCTAGCATTACTGTTGAACGTGGAAGTGCAAGCATTGTTTATCAAATTGCAGAAAAATGGAATTTATATTCCAAAGGAGAGGTATGCTCAAGAAGAAGCTGAGAAAAAGGTGCATTTTTCTCTTTTGTTTTATAATGAATCTCAAGATCTTGAACTCTTGCGGTTTTCCTCTTATGTAGAGAGACTTGTTTCATTTCCTCTCGGAGAACTTGCTAACGTTTTTGTTTTACTGATTGAAATTTTGTTAGGCGTCTAAAGATAAGAAGAGCTTGGATGTTGGTGCCAACCTCCTCATTGGAAACCAAGCCCTTCATTGGAAACCAATATGCATGCAAGATTACACAGAAGCTGCCACAGTTGTGTTTCTATTCTGCGTTGCAGATGGAAGCTTTGCTAAAGCCAAGCCCTTTTCTTAGTTTAAGTACTTTTCGTTTTAAGTTTAAACACTTGTTGCTTTCGAATTTGAGTTTTTTAGATTGTAAGACTTTGCATTTGCACTTCTAGTTATTGTGTGTTATTTCAACAAGTTCATGAATACTCGAAAATAATACCTCAGGTGTAGACCTCTAATATAGATCTCCAATTAATACAAGGTAGACCGATTCTTATGTCTATCTTTGCGAGGTAGACCGATTCTTGATTTTGCGCTATGTGTATATTTGCAAACATGTGAACAAGAGATTTTCTCAACTAGGAATACACCACATTCACATGAACGGTTTTCCAAATTACTAAGGTGAAGTGCATCTATATTCAAAGTTCAAATTACTAAGGTCACATGAATACTACACATCTCATTATCACCAAATTTCCAGCCTTAAAGAAAAAAACAAAAATTATAACAGATTAGTAGACAGAACGGTTTTTCATCATCATCCATAAACAAAAGCTAGACAAACCATTACTGCAACAAAAATAAACCAGACCACAAAATGGATTAGTAGACAGAAGGCGTAGACCACAGGGTAGACCCACAATTTGGTCTACCAGAAAATTAAGCTAGATACCTAATTCAAAAGAAAACCGAATATAGCCTTAATTACGCCGAAAGAACATTTCAAACTCACACAGAAGCAAGTAAACAAATAAAAACAACTAATTGTTCGAGAAAATTTCAAAATATTTGATATATTGAAAGGAAAACGACATTTAAAAAACACATAATAATAGACCTAAAACGTAGACGTTCGGAGTAGACGTTCACGGTAGACCTCCACTTAGGTCTACTCCACGTGGAGGGTTAGTTTTGCAATTGATCGAGAAAAATGTTTTTTTGGAGGTCTACCTTGTCGGTCTACTACACGTGGAGGGTTAGTTTTGCAATTGACCAAACACTTTTTCACAAGGTCTACCGTGTACGTCTACCAGAAAACGTAGACCTCTCAATCGGTCTACCAAAAAAAGTAGACCTCTGAATTAGTCTACCCTTAGGTCTACCTACCGAAAACAGTTTGTTTTGCCGTTGACTCAAGTTTGACTTTCCTCGGGTAGACTTCCGTGGTAGACCTCAGTTTTTTGCGTTGACCAGTAGACCTCACTTGCGGTCTACCGGATGGTAGACCTACACGGTAGACCTCAATGACGCAAAATCTCTCCTTTTTGAGGAAAGTCAAACTTGAGTCAACGGCAAAACCAACTTTTTTTTTTAGGTAGACCTAAGAGGTAGACCTCCGAAAAAATTTTCCTCTTCAATTGCAAAACTAACCCTCCACGTGGAGTAGACCGACAAGGTAGACCTCAAAAAAAATATTTTTCTCAATCAATTGCAAAACTAACCCTCCACGTGGAGTAGACCTAAGTGTAGGTCTACCACTCATTTTTTTTGTTTGCAAAGGAAATGGCACAGTCAACTCTGCGTTGACCAGTAGACCTAAACTGAGGTCTACTATGTAATGGTAGACCTACACTTCAGTCTACCTTCGGACCAAAACTGAAATTCTTAGAATTTTGAAAGAAAAGTTACTGGCCGTTGGAAAAGGCTCTTCAAGGGCTGATAACTTCAATTTAGGCTTCAATTACGAGTTCCGTCATCACTAAGCTAAACAATTGGAAATACCAAGACCCAAGATTTGAGTTTTCTTTTAAGTTTTTGGGATGAAAATGGAGAGAAAATGGAAAGAATAAGAGTTTGTGAGATGAAAGAAGGAGAAATGCTAGCTCCAAAGTGAGTTTTCGGAGCATTAACAGCTCCAAATTGGGTAAAAATGGTGGTTGTCAACATTGATGAAATGACATTTTGGCAATTAAGTGTAGAAGATGAGGGGTGTTTGGTCTTTCAGCAGATCTGGTAGACCTAAATATCGGTCTACCAATCGAAAAAGTAATGGCATTTCGTAATTAATTGGAAAAAACTGGACAAACTTAAAATGAAAAAAGCAGGAGGTTACTTTTGCATTTGACCACAATTTTGGGTCTAGAAGTGAAACAACCCCTATTATATTCGTTTTACTATATCGATTACAGTATTTGAACTAAGAAAATATTTGAAAAGTACATAATTTTCTAAACCCGAATTTAATAATTGGTTTGGCCACATAACTAAACCAAACATTTCTCTAAACTTGGTTTTGAATGATAATATTGCAGCGTGGGGGTTTAACTTTAATGGAGGGCCTATCGTGTATACACCACCTTCGCTGGCTTGTCTAATGGCTTCCGAGTGGAGCCTACGCCGACCATGCAGACGTCCTCCAGAAACTTATATTCCTTTGTCTGACCAATCGCCATAACACTACCCTTAATGCTTCGTACGTGCTTGTGTGTGTTCGTGTCAGAATTTTGAAGTTATAGATATGCATGCAATAATAAAGTTTGTGGTATTCTGATTTGGTTTCTTCTCTAAAGTGTTAGCCTGAAAGATAATGTTTTCGTCGATAAGAAGATTAATTAATATGAAATGGTGTAGAAGTCGCGTATTTGGCTTTTTCAATAAAGACGATGAGAGAAAACACTTATCTCTTTCGTTCAAATCTCTAGCCATTCGTTTATTAACAAAGGAATCTTGTGGCTAGTGAAGAAACCGCGTTAAAACTTGTCGTTATTAAGAAAAATAACTAAAGCAACAAAAAAATATGTGGCTACACTTTTCTTCTATATATTTTATTACAAGACTTACATTGACCAAAAACGCAACAAATAAGAAAATGGGTTCGAAGTCACCAAGTATTGCCTCACTTCTGTTACCACTGCTTCTTATAATATTCACTCTTTCCTCTGAAGTTGGAGTCGTTGAATCTACCGGTCGCAAACTTCTTCGTAAGTGTATTTTACAAATATAGACGTAGTACTAAGTAAAAGTTCTGAAATGAACCTATTGATTATCTGCTTGTCTAACTCTATTAACAAACCGTCTGTAAAATGATCTAATTTCGCTTCAATATATTAACATTAAACTAACAAAGACATTCTGAATTAACCGAGCTTAAACTAGTCAAGTCCTCTTAAACTTGGTTAATTAAGCACCGTGGGGTGTTTATGCTAGCGCCTAATTAGATCGAATCCTTGCTGTATGTTCTGTAAACAGAAGCTGTTGCCTAAGAGGCTAAGACCACAATAAAGTTATGCTTAATTATTTCATTTAATTTCAAATGTTTTAGACTAAAAATTAGAAGGGAACAATTTGTTTCTTCGAAGTTGAGCTTATTCATGACATTCAGGATTTAATATCATTATATCAAACGAGAGATTTTGTATGGTTGACTACCGTATTTATAGAGAGAACTAGTTAGAAAATTCTGACTATGTAAATTAATTTGGGAGACAATTTCAGTAGAAATAGAGTCCAGGGGGCCCGCACCAGGCTCACTTTCTTGTGGAACTTCTCCAGGAACATCAGTATCTTCTTCGAAGTATTATTGGACAAGACCATGCAGACGTCCTCGTCCTCCAGAAACTAATATCCATGTTTCTCAATCTCCTTAGAGCATCTACAACCCAACTTCAAATTATTTACTGAAAAAAGAAAGAAAAAAAAGAACCAAGTTTCTCTCCAGTGGTTAGCTTTGTTTATTTCTTCAAATTAAGATTTTAATATATTTAATTATCATTTTAACGATAATTGTTAAAATACTCTTTTACTTTTTAGTTCTATCACTTTGTACCCATTTATTTTTTTTTAACTATTTCTCAATAAAATTCAAAATTCATAATGCTATAATGATCTTAGTGGATCTGGTCATCTGGAAATGGTTTACCAGGTTGTGAGCGCATCATGTTATGTTAAATTTTTATTTATCTTCAATTTTATAATTAATTTTTATTCTTGTTCTCTAGCTGAGCCCTAAGGGCTTTAGAAAAGGCAATGGCTCTCTGGAAACGTCTCTTTTTCTTCTCCGCTCGTTTGATTCGTTCCTCATTATCGTTTAGTTGCATCTTCTTCCTTTTTCTAACAATCGGCTGAGCTTGTTTGCCCATCGAGCTATGGTGAGAGAAATAAAACGAAATAAAGCAAAGAATAAAACTAGTTTTCAGAACATTTCTTCATTTGTTTCTTCAAAATAAAGCAAAAAGTGAAATATGAAGCTTGGTTGGATATGCTTTTCAGATTCAACTAATAATAATTCTATTTGTGTAATAATTTTGAAGTTATATGGACTCAAAAAAAAAAGAAAAAGTTTTTCGATTTTGTTTCTTGTCAAAAAGTTTTTTTTTTTTTTTTTTTAAAAAGAAACTAAAATATATGTCGCCTACTATGAAATAATATGAAGTATGAAAGAACTAATACAATACTTATGAAAGAAATAAAATTATGGCAACCTGCACCAACAATATTAAGAATGCAAGAACACAAACTTTCTTTCAAATGAGATTTCATTAAGATTTACTTTAAACAGTTATTCTTTACAATATTGTTTAATCAGACTTACCCAATTTCACAACTGTTATTTGCTACTGAACTAAATCCTAATCTACCAAATCTCACAAACGCAGCAACATCTGCGTGTCTCTTTGTTCACTCTCTGAAACCCTAGTTTCTTGAGGATACAATCTGTTACACAGAGCTTGTTACAACAATAAGAGCTTACTAGTTTCCAACGACTGCTTGTTAAAGGCTACTCAACGGTGGAGAAGGGCTGTTTCGTGGTGTACACGTCAGATAAAATCTGCTTTGCTTTTCGGATAAGTTACCTGCGCAACTCTGTTTTCCAAGAGCTCTTGAAGATCTCTGAAGAAGAATTCGGCCTCCCAACCAGTGGACCAATCATGTTGCCGTTCGATTCGGTTTTCCTGGAGTATCTTATTGAACTGATTGAACGAAGAATGGATGGAGATCCGGGAAAGGCTCTGTTAATGTCAATCTCTAGTGCTATATGTTCTTCACAGTGCTCTTTTCAACATCAAGAACAAATGCTTGTATTTTAGAGAGTTAGGGTAGCAATTTATGTGCTTGTAAAAGATTAGAAAGATTACTTCAGAA